AGAGAGAGAGAGAGAGAGAGAGAGAGAGGGAAATGCCGATTAAAAAATTAGGTTGACTAGGGTGAAGTAAAAAAGATGGAGTTTAGGCTTTTTTTTTTTGGTTGGGGGGTATTTGCATAGAATGTGTGCTTTATGGAAAAAAGAGCGAGAAAAACTTCGGTTGGAGGTAAGTTACATAAAAAGTGTGGTCTGGATCATATTTCAAAATTTTAGGTCGTTACTAGAGTATTTCTTTTAGAGTTATTGTAGATCAATAGACTTTCATATTGCAATAATTTGAGAGATTTTCGGGAAAAATTAAGAGAGAAATCGAAGTTTATCTATTTTGGTTAACAAATTTTTTTTTTTTTTTAAAAAAAAGGCACTCAAGTCAGCTTGCCTGATTCCGGATGAGACTGAGCACGGACAACCTCCATGTCCGACACACTGGGTCGACTTAGCAATTCCGGAAGCTCCGATTTTTGAACCTACCATAGAGACGTACACAATATTACTCGTTTATATGCTGCATGGATATAAAAGTCATCCTTTTATGGACTTTGAGGTGAGAAGTGATACTATCCTAAAGTCTACTGCTGATATCTTGTGGTTGATAGCATCAATTTGTATTCAAACAGGATATAAACAGGTACTGCCAATTTACAACCATCGAAGGCATAAACAGGCACTATAGTCTCTAGACACTAATTAGAACTGTCAGAGCTTGCTCTGGCGGTGTATTATGATTGAAGGAGATTCACCAACTGTTATAATCTGGTCAAGTAGTCTCTCTCTCACTCACTCTCTCATTCAGAAAGATTTTTTTGATAATTTGAATTTTGAATTTTTTTAGTACGTAGATCTCACCTTTCAAAAATTGGACAGTTTCTATCCATTCTTAAAGCATTATTTTTCTCAAGCCTATACATAATGGGCAAGTCAAGCCCATATAGATTGGAACTTGGAATGTTTTGGTATTGTATAGAGCATATGGGTTGAAAAGTTTAAATCCTCAAATTTTGGGGCTTAGATATACTCCTAGATTATGTTTAGCCGAGGGAATAAGTAAGTTTACTCCCTCGAGAGCATAAAATCTTTTGAGAATGTATAATGGATGCCGTTTGTAAAAAAAAACGGATTTGGGGCCCGACCTTTTGGTAAGAATGGAGTCAAAAACTTCATCATAGGGCTCGTTGGTACTACCGCCAAGGTTCCATGCCATTCTCAAATGTGATTTGTACAAGGTTGAGGCCTTGTAATAAAAGGTTAAGCTTCACCACAAAACAGCATCCCGATAATATTTTGGGTTGGGAAACCCTACAATGGCTTTAAGATCTATTTCCACTACCTAAAACAAATTTTGTAGCTTGTAAAATGGTACGTATATGTGAAAACTTAAAAATATAATGTTTAGATAATGAACTATTGTTTCAGGGCTAGACTACATTTCTACAATTTGCCGTTTAAAGGTATAAAGCACCCATTTTTAAGATGGATAGGTCGTCCCTCTAAAAACGATTGTGACTAATGGTCCAAATGTTTTTTTAATATAATAATTATTATTATTATTATTTTTCTATATTCAAGATCTCCATGTTAAAGATTATATATTCTCTGAAAATTAAGTATCAAGTTATATTTAAAAAATTCATTTATTTCCAAGTCCGTATTTCTGCAACATGAAGACTGGCCTCATGCTAACCGTATCATTCAATAATATATTACAATACACTCTAATTTTAGGGTTTGAAATCCTAGTATCTTTTTACATCTATAATGATCAAGGTCAAGAGGATCGATCCGAAGATTTTTCAAAGCGGGATCTACAATTTCTATTGAGATTTAATATGTATCTTTAATTTTTTAATAAAGCCTAGGCCTTATTTTAACCTTTTCCTTATAGAATATGTTCCTCCAACATGATAGCGCTTAATTATAGCATGGTCACATGGTTACAGAAATTAGAATGCAAGACTTTCCAATGGTAGCAAGATTCCAAGGCTCAGCTGCAACAATGTCGTTTACGGAGAAGTTAAAAATTACGAGTTCGGAGAATCATTCATCAACTTTCCATGAAACAGCTTTCCATGAAATAGAACTCTCAAACTATAATACAATAAAATTACAGTTCCGGGTTTCATCCATGAACCTCACTCTGTCTGTATCAGAGCTGTGTTAGAGAGAGAATATCCTCCATGTTAGAGTGAGAGAACCAGAGAAAAACATAAAGAGAGAGATGGGTTCCTCTACAAACCTCAATCTCTATCAAGGGTGTGATAAAAAGAGAAAGATGGAGAGAGAGAGGAAACAAGCCCAGGTTAAATGGCCAGTGTTTTGACGATAGGTTCGTAACGCTAAATTCCAAGCTCCATTTCTATATGAGAGTAAGGAGGTTCAAATCCCCATTGAGTTATCTGAAAAAAAAAAAAAAATTCTTCAACAAAAAGAGAGAGATGTTAGCTGAACAAAAGAAAACAAAAATGGTTTGTAGAAAACAATGAGATGGGTTCCCTCTAAGAACCTCAATCTCTCGTCTCAGCTTCACTCTTTTATGCTCTCAAGAACAGGTTTCCAACACCCATCTCTTTCCTTCCCTTCTCCACCACTCTGCGTATCTCCAAGCTCCAAGAGCCGAGTCTCATTCCTCCTCACCATTTCTAGCAGCATTTGCTCCACTGATGATTGACTCAACCCCTTATTGCTGCTATTCAATATCTGCTCCAACTCTTCAGGGGTTACCATTATTCTCAATCGAACCACACCTTTCGTAGCATTGTTCTTCTCACCATGACCATCCTCCAGGCTAAACCTCACCCTCTTCGCCTTCTTAGGCTTCGAGTCATTTTTGCTGCAGTCTTCAGAGAGAGTAGATCGTGAAGAAGCGATATCCGAGCTTCTATCTTCCAAGAGAGGAGATCGCGAAGACTCGGTGTTTGATTCTCGGTCTAGCCTAGAGAGGGAAGCTGGTCTTGGTGCCTCTTCCATGGTGGTTTTCGCTTGGTTTTGCTCTTCTTCTTCTGTATGGACTGAGATCTTTTGAGAATTTAAACAATTTCCCATGGTTTTTGCTATAACCCAACTCAAAATTGTTAAGAAAATGTCTACAAAATGGACCGGTTAAAGTATGAAATGGAGAGAGAGAGAGAGAGAGAGAGAGAGAGAGATTTGAAGTGAGAGAGGATTGAAGAAAGTTGGGTGTTAGGTTTTAACGAGCAGAGTGAAAGAGATGAGAAGGCAGGCTCTGATCTGATTTGGATCTGGGTTTATGAGGTGAATTTCAGAGAGAGAAAGTAGGGGAATTTGTGTGGAGAAAGCTTGGGAGAAGAGTTATGGCTATATATAAAGGTAGGAGTGAGAATAAAGAAACATGAGTCACATGGGCTTCCCTTTTTTTACGCCGTATCTTAGGTTCCTGAAAAGAGTTGGGAGTTTGGCTCTATTCCATTTTAATGGACTGATTGAGAAACTGAACAACCGAAAGCCCTAAATGTTACTTTATTTATTCATTAATCAAAGAAAAGGGCTCCTCATTCATATAAGGGTGCGGTTTGTATAGAAACTAGGCTCCAAACAATCAAATTAGAGCCCACTTTCAAATCAAATAGTGTTGAGGTCAATTGTATATCCCTAAAATTTGGGTTAAAAAACTTATCCTACATAGAGTTTTACACAAGGGAATAAGCAATATACTTCTCAAAGAGTGGAATATCTTTTGGTTTAATAAATTGTATTGGGCTACTTGGCTGGATCTTTCATTTGGTTAATAGGCCCGGCTTTTTTTTTTTTTTTTTTGTTAATTGCAAAGACGCGGCCTCCAACCAGAGAGAGAGAGGGGGAGGAGAGGCCTGCCATTTGTTAATGGGATGAGAGAGAGAGAGAGTGAAAAAAATCCCCATAAATAACAGAGAGAGAGAGAGGGGGAATCTTTGGTTGGTTAAAGTCCATAATTAGGGAGAGAGAAAGTAGTTTAAGGTTGGTAAGAGAGATCATGTTGATATGAGATTGGTAAGAGAAAATCTTGATAAGGGAGAGAGGAGGGGGGTCGGAAAACAAGTATGGATCTCAAGGAGCATATGTTGTATATCAACTACTCAACTTAAAAATATGTCTTAACTAAACGGTTTGCAATCCAATATGGAATCATTGGATGAGTATTTTCACAAAAATAACTTGGATTTTGAGTTGTTGATTGCTTATAGGGGTGGCAATGGGCTGGGCCCGAAAAACATGAGGCCTAGGCTCATAAATGACTTGGATTTTGAGTTATTGATTGCTTATAGGGATGGCAATGGATTGGGAGGCTCAGACTGGCCCGATTGGCCTGGCCCTAAAAACCTAGGGTTAGGCCATAAGCTGTTCAAGGGCCGGACCTAGGGCTGGGACAGTCCCGTTTGGTCCAGCCAATCTTTCTTCTCTTAGTGTTTTTTTTTTTTTTAATGTGATTTCTTCTACTGGCACTGCCTAGGCCAAAGTCAGGCCTGGGCCAACCATGTGGACACTAGGGCTAGGGCTTGGGCAAAGCTTGGCCCAGCTTAGGCCCTACACATTGCCAGCCCTATTTGGCTATATATCTGATTGTTAAAATTGGACAATTTTTTAATTTTTAATATTTTTTTTTGGCTGGGCTTCACTTTTTCTGGAAAAAAAAGGAAAAATAAATTTTGATACGGGTTGTTAGGCCGAGCATATTGTATTCCAAAAATTTGAAAATTGAAATATAATCTCACTAAGATTTTTTCTTATTGCATTTAATCTAAGGTAAACTTCAATGGGTGCATATAATCTTTCCATAATGCAAGAGCCCTTGTCTATATGTTATGGAGAAGACTTGAGAAAATAACATCAACCATTGTCATCATCGTAGATTCAAGATTTATGGAAAATGGGACTAACCGACATGCTTAAATCACCCATTATCATCATTGTAGATTTAGGATTTATGGAAAATGGCACTAACCGACATGCTTAAATCAACCATTATCATCGTAGATTCAGGATTCACGGAAAATAGCATTAAACGACAATGCCTAAATCAAGGACCCAAGACCATCCTTGGTAGGGAGGCCTGATCCTTGTTGATGCGGGCCAGATCTTGGTAGGAGAGAAAGGACAAGAATTGGCCTATAACAAAATAATATGAAAATAATGCTAATAATTTGTATGTCATGCACATGTCATGATGACTAATCCTTACCTCCTTCATTTCATCCTAATTTTTCGATTGTTTTTTGCGTCGAGTAGACTGTATTTTACCATCAGTTCTTGTTTTATTCACCCATTAAAAACGCTTATTTTTTTTTGCCTTCATTTCTTCATTTATTTTATTGCTTAGCCACTTCTCATAATGCCTCATTAAATACAGTTAATGTTAATCCCTCTCTTAAATAAAGTTAATTTCTCTCTCTCTCTCTCTCTCTCTCTCTCATTCATATTTCAGGCTATGTCGATGCATGAAAGAGCGCATAAACCTCTTGTTGTAATTCTCTTGTATCTTTTCTTTGAAAAAGTTTATATAAGGTGTCAACCTTATAATGTACCGGTAAGATGCGTCTAAGAATCCCATTAGAAAAGGTTGTTCCTATACTGGAAAATCCTCAAATCATTCATCTCAACCTCGAGATTTATAGACATGAAAATATGGGATTTCTAGTCCTGAAAATAGTTCATGATACATTTTATGGACCTTCCATTTTTAAGATGTTTAAGTGTTTATAGATTGCTCGATCATCACCATTTATAAAACTTTAAATTTCATAATTAGGAGCAACAATTGATTTTCATATCATCGCAAGGCTTTGTGGTACCAAAACTGCATTTTCAGCATAGTTTTGAGGTGCACCTTACTTCAATAGTATAAGGTTGACACCTTATACAAATCCACCCCTTTTCTTTTTGTGAATGAAATATATGTTACCGTTTGAATAAATAAAGGGTGCAGTTTCTATAAGATTTCAGCCATAAACAATCCAAATTAAGGCGCACCTCTAAATATTATTATAACATATAATTTTGCTGTAAAAAATTCTTAGGATTATCTTAAAATCTATTTTTATATCTAATTAGAAAATTTTAAACTCCAAAAATAGATAAAATCAAGGAGATCTATAGACATGAAAATATTGAAAATAGATGGCTTAGATAATGTATTGCAAGATACATTATTTCTGAGACTCAAAAACTCTTTTTTTATATATTTATACACCTCGATGTCGAGATGATCAAATACATGATTTTTCAACAATAAAATAACCTTTTCGATAGATTTTTGAGATGCAACTGTAATTCTACATTTTAAAGTTACAACCTCATATAAACTTTTCCCATAAATAAATAGCATAAACTTTTCTTCTCGAATTCCTAGACAGACGCGCAATGCATGAGTGCACATGTGCACACACGCACCAAAATAGTAAACACAAACTTTGACCTAAAATGCTCATCCTTAAACAACGAATTCAACATAACATTAAAAAAGAACACCTATATTATGCTATTGTAGTGACTAGATTATTATTATCAAAATAATAAAATTAAAATTTTGAGTTTCCTAACACTTAAATTTCACCTCTCCAATTTGGATGGTCTCTATTCAATCTTGACACTTTTTTTTTTTTTTTTAAGTTCACAGATAGTGCAATTAGGAAAAACATTTCTTGAAGTTAATCTAAGGGTTGAAGGGTTACATTATGAAATATTGAGATTCTAAAATTAATCTAAGATGGTTATACCGAAGGAGTAAATAGATAGTATACTGCCACCGGTGTATATCTCTTGGCTAAAAAGATTTCGATATAAACTAGTAAATATGAGCAAGGGTGGCGGTTAAGGACACATGTCATGCCTGCACCCAAGATATCAGCTAACTTCGTCCACCATACCGGTTTAGGCATCACATTTAATATGACATGTTAAGGAAGTTGTGTTATTTATAGATAGATAATCAACGCTAGAGATAGAGAGAGAGAGACCCCACAAATGGCATAAATTGGCAAAAATTTATTGTTTCTTTTTTAGTGTCTCAATTGGCGAACTCAGTGTTTCAGAACCTGAATAGGTTCGGTGGATCGTCTACCATAGATCCATATTGAATTGTTTGATTTAAATCGATGATCCTAAAATATGTTAAAAAATACAAAATAAAGTAGGGGTTTATGTCAGGAATTTAAAAAAATTTAAAAAAATATTAAATAAATTTAAAAAAATATTACATAATAAAAGAGTTTTAAGGAGGTATAATTATACCTTACCAAAACCGATCCAGTTTGGGCCTGATCTGAATAACTGATTCTTCATGAAATTAAATGTGCTTTAAAACACGCCAATTGTCCTCATCGTATGGCCGTCCCCACAATAAGATAATAGATAAGTCCATGGTCATGGGTGAATTATTTCTAAAGGGAAAGACCCTACCATTGTGGTGCAAATGCTATGGACTCTCCTTTGTTACGTTATGGTGGACCTAAGCTGCATGTGCAGCTTGCATAAAGAACCCTAATCCTAATTTTATGAGATCTCACAATCAAGTCACCGCCGAACCTCTCTCTATTGACTTAATAAATTAGACTTATGAAACTCATAATAGTTTGTTATTTATAATTTTAGAAGTCCATAAATATGATGGGACCGTTGCTTTGAGTCCTTGCCATCCTATTTAATTTGATGGTTGCGATTGCTCATGACATGATGTAGCAATTTAGTTTAATTTGACGGCTAGGATAGTATCATCCGGGAAATTTTTTCATTACACTCCTTGTGCATCTCTAAGTCTTAAAACTAGCATAGCCCAAGCTCAGTCATCATTCATACACCACATCAGAGAATTTGAAGCATAAACACACACACCATGGTCCAATAAGCTGTAAAGGGCCGTAGCCCACTGGTATTATATAGCCATGGACTCCCTCACCAAGAGCCGGGCATGGGATTATTATAGATGAACTAACAAATTCACACTATACATGTGTTGGTTATGCCACCATGACCTGCATGAACACCACCTAGCTACCCTATTTCTTGGGTCAATTACGCACAGTCTGCCTATTATCCCTCGATCGCGTGCCACCATGAGCATTGTAACAACCTATCAAACTATTTCAACTACCTTCCCACCCCACCCCGTCAATTCACTCCTAAGCGACTCATTGATATAAGGAATCAGATACTCCTAATCAACTCACTATCTGCATCATGACTAGCCATACACCAACATAGTTCACTTACGAAAGGTCAAACAAGTACTTACCCACATATGGCTCATGGCCATTACACAAACCCACATTTGGGCAGTTACATATATTTGAACCCACCATAATCGTCTTGGTCTATACTTGCCCAGCCAAGTGTACTCAATCCTCTTGCACATGGTCCTCGCCAATGTCTCATCAAGTCGAGCCATCCAGTCACACGTTAGCCATCAACTCATAACGTCCGGTCCAAGTTCTCCTACCAAAGGTCTTTAGCGGTCAGCTGTCTATGTGCATACTATGCGCTAATGTCGCATATCCTGACCTCTCGTACAGTTAAGGGAGAGAGCAACCTCTCAAATATAGTTGTCGTCGTAAAGAAGTGGATCTTCGTAAGTTATAGTCAATCCTACCAAAGTAGCATATATGTTGTTTGATGCACCTAGGGGTTCCTTGACCATATCCACCGCTAATGCACCATACACACTACTTGGCTGGCACCACACGCATCAAGCTGCACCAGTCAGCTTGCAACACATGCACTGGTTGTATCATTCAGCCTGCAATACATGCACTGGTTGTATCATTCAGCCCGCACCACATACACCAGACTACCTACACTATACACACCAGGCTGCAATACCACATGCACTAGGCAACTTGCACCCATAGTTAGCAAATCGGCGTTTTAAACGCGATTTTTTTTTTAAATTATTTTGAACTGCGTATTTTTCAAAAGAACGTAAAAAAATCACTTTTTTTAATGAAGAAGTTTAATACGCGATTTTTAAATTTTTATAATAATTCGTTTCAAAAAAATGTTTTCTATTAATAATACTCCATGGTACACAGAGACAGAACCATGTGATAGAGAACATCTCATCGATGGGTACACAGAGAGAGAATGATAATCTTCTCAAAGAAATTAGGGAAAAATAGAGATAGAGAAGTTTAAAAAATCCCCAAATTGAACTAGATCACAAATGCTTGATGGGTATTGAGAGAGAGAAAAAGAGAACCACTGTTTATAATGCATTCTTTAGAGAAAGAGACCCACTGTTTATATTGAAGTATAGATTTAACATTAGCTTTTAAGAATCCCTAAATTTAACAACATTTCAAAAAAAAATAGGGGAAAATAGATTAGGGAAAATAGAGCACAATCTGATAGAGAACTTCAAATTGCATGAAAAGTCCCCAAATTTAACATAACTCAAAAATCCCCAAATTAACATAGCTCAAAAAACATATTAGGGAAAATGAATTAAGGAAAAACATAAGAAGGGCTTTTCCCTAAACTTGATTCAACCGATTAGCTTAAAAAATACTGCACGATTTGATTTAGACGCACCCATCTGATTTTCTTCACAAGAAGTTTACCATCTGCTTCAAAAAAACAGCACCACTATGAAAAACCCTGTCTGCTCTTCTGTGTTTCTTTGAGATATCCGTGGTCACCCCCCGCCCCTGCGCGCTCTCTCTCTCTATTTCTTTCTCTGCATCCACCTCTCTCTCCCTGTACATTTCTTTCTCTTACGCACTTCACTCTCTTTGTCTCCTGGTTCCAAAGGAAATGGTCAGCCCTCCTCTCGTCTTCCCTCTCTAAAAGTCTAAATATGGTGCACAGGATGGAACAGTGCATATTCGTATGGTGCACAAGATGGAACAGTGCATATTCGTATAATTAGTATGGTGTATAGTTATTAATGGTGTATACTTAGTATGGTGTATAGTTATTAATGGTGTATACTTAGTATGGTGCATAGTTAGAATAGCTAGTTTAAAGACTATAGTGTTGGCATAAATATGGTGCCCTTTTTTTAAACTTACTAGTTTTTTCATTCCGATTTTTTGAACCAAGTCCATTATATTTGCGACATGTTTACATGCAGTATTTTTGCCGATATGTATTTTTGACCCGATTTTTTCATTCGACTTTTTAAAATAAAAAAGATTTATTTTCGATTTTATAGTGAGCCAATATATTAATATTCCCCGACTTGCTAATTATGCTTTGAGGCTTAGAAAAAAGAGGCCTAACAAATAGCTCCCCACATGATTGTGGGGTCTTTCCCCTTCTCGTTTCTTTGAGCAGGATACATTAGCGTTAGTACATGAAAAGAAAAAGCACAAGTGATAATAGTTAAACACTATTTTGGATACTTACCCAAAAAAAACCTTTAGGTTGGAAAAAATTTGTGAACTTCCGGCATGGTCTAATAGGTTTTACTTTTGAATTTAGATCTTTTTTTTAGTTTTTTTTTTTTCATTTCAATTTTTCCCCTAGTTTGATATTACAAACATAAAATTGATTTTTGTATTTTGTTTTGTGAATTCTAGGGTATTCTGACGTCCCAAGTATTGAACTGCCCCATTTTTAAGTTAGTTTGATATTGAAAACACCGAACAACTCTATACACAGATTATGGAATTGTTTAAGTTTGGACCAAACCGATGTTGGAATGGTCAAATTGTATTTAAAATCCAAAAAAGAAAAAAAAAAATTGTGGTACGGAGATGGAGGTATAATATTCCCAAACATCAGATTGCCCCATATTCACCCAAATGATGCAAAGCCCCACATTTAATATCATTTTATCAAAATCATACATCACGTATCATAATATATCATCACATGTGATATATATATATATATATATATATATGCTATAATCGTAAATCATCATTGTCATCGTTTATGAAAATGACACGATGATATGAAATTTGGGACTATGCAACCACTAGATTGAAGATAGGGCGGTCCGATTATGAAGATATTAGACCGCCCCAATTTATTTGTGTCTTTTTTTAGATTATAAATATATTTCAGTCTTTCTCCTGTCTTTTAAAATTTTATATTCTTCATTTCTCATCTCTTAATTGGCCATGGATGCATACAACTTTACATAAGAGCCCATAATTAAGCTAAAACCTACAAAAATTGGTTGCAAATGAGGAAATTCGATGATTTGACCTAGGATTAGTGACCTGAGAACCTTCATAAAATCGACGCACTGAATAGACCTTGGAACATAAAATTCCTTCAACACTTTTATCGTCCCTCGAAATTTAATTCTCTCTTGACCACGTTTCGGTTGCTGTACTTTGTATACAGAGAGAGAAGAGAAATAAAGAGCTCAAACTGCCAAGCCCATAGGAGTTGTTCCCCTCCATGATGTAGATTCTTTCATATATTTTCTCTCTCTTCTATCTCGTTTTTTTCCCATATTTCATTTGAATTTCCCTTGGAGAGCGAAAGGAGTTACAAGAAAATCATATATGGTTCATCTCTGATGGTGGGTTTCAAATGGTGCAGTTTGACCTTTTCAGTTCATTACACCACTCCTCTTGGTCTTCTGTTTCCTTGTCTCTGGTTCTCATTGCGATAGTGAGAAGAAGAGCATTTGTAGAGAAAGAACGGGACAAGGGCATAGAGAGGAGTACGAGGGAGGGCGAAGGAGAAGGACAAGAAAAAGAAAGGAGTGGAATTGATTTAAGCATATCAAACCTATTGAGAAAACCAGGGCAACGGGATGCCCCACTTTCTCTCTCGAATTGACTGTGAAGTCTACACCTTCAAAATAAATGATGCTAGCAATAGAAAAGAAGGGTTGTAGGACTGAGGGGGGTAAAGAAACGAGAGATATTGTAATTAGGAAAAGTTAATTTGGATTTTTATTTTTTTATTTCAATTATTATTTCTAATTTCTTGAGGGGCAAGGTAATTCATTTATTTTTTAAATTAATAATGGATGGTTAAGATTCAATAAATGGATGACTAAGATTTTATAAGATTTTTTTTGGTTTTTGAGTTACTTAAATACTTGTTACGGAGGAATTCGGAGACTATATTGGAGTTCAACACAATGATGGTGAAAGTGGTAATTCGCATCTCGTTCCTGACCAATCTACATGGCTCTGACTTATGAAAGGAAAGAGAACTTAGAATAAAAAATTATTATGTCAAGGTTCCATGGCCAAGTTAAGGTGGATAATTTTCTTCATTGGCATAGAAAAAATGAGAAATTATCTTAATATAAAGATATAGGTTATCACATAAAAGTGAAATTAGTAGCAACAATTATGGATTGGTGGGATGATTTACATCAATATCATTTTCGGCAAGACGAGGATAGAATTAATTCATGGGAGAAGATGAAGACAAAGGTTGTACCAAAGGCGTCAAAATCTCAAATGATGAAAAAAATCAATGAGTGAGTAGGCTGAAGAATTTTATACTTTCACATCTAAGGCAACTTCTGATAAAAAGAAAAAAGACATATAAAGAAAGTTTAAAGGAATTTGAAGATCAAAAGAAGCTACTTGAATGTGCTAAATTAGGACATCTAAGGAAACTTTTGATAAAAAGAAAAAAGACATATAAAGAAAGTTTAAAGGAATTTGAAGATCAAAAGAAGCTACTTGAATGTGCTAAATTAGGAGATCCATAACAAATTGGCTTTCACAAGCCTAGACATTGGTCCTCGAAGCAGATGAACTTGTTTCATCTAGGCCTTCTGAGTAAGGGATCGGTCATAAGAGGCTCTACTTCGACATAATAGAAACATGCTTTGACTTTTATAGATCCACCAATAGAATATAGGAACCATGGCACTCTACGTTTACCAACGAAGGCAAATCCCAACTTCGGGGGAGGTGTGTTAGTCTTAATAAAAAATTAATTAATACGTAAATAAAATCGATAAATAACTTACTCGAATATATTCTTAAATCGCACAAGGTACTTAAGGTTCCAAACTAAAACCTATAAACTAAATCATCCAGTGACAGGCTACTTTGAAAGTTTTCTTAGTGAATCTCATTCATCTTCCATCTCTTTTTTTCCATCATTTTCTCTATCTTTTGAGAGGGGTTAACCTCCTCTTATAGATAACACATTTATTTTGTAACTCTCACATTCATGGTCTATAGGAGTTGAGATCTAAGTGCAGCTCATGCCCTAATTCTCTTAGGTGCAACTAATTAGGATTAACAAATTGTCACCAAGCTATTCATCCTATGTAATGAGATAAACATGTCATTTGTCCACTAATGTCACACCCCAAGAATTTACAATACTGATATTCCTGAGATGTGACAGTCAAAACATATGTACATCTCTTGATAGGACAAATTTACACTGACGAATTCTTACAAAGTAACAAAAAAAAAAGCTTAGACACAACTACAATATCTTCCAAAGTTGCCCTTGACGAGTACTCAAAATGAATCCGTACTTATCCTGAAAAAATGTTTACCATAGTTTGATGAGTTTGGCTACTCAGTAAGTGATCATCATAATCCTAAAAATAATCATGATTGAAAGATATCAATATTTTCCAAAATGAGATCTATTAATAGAAATGCATCAATAATTTCACTTTA